ATCAGTACTTCAGTAACTTTTTGAAAGAAAAAAAAAACTTTACGGAGTACTTTTACTGCATCATACTTTTCACCTCTAACTAAATAGAATATTATGAATTTTTGCTACTTTTAATGAATTAAAAGGAAAAAAAAAATTTTAAGAAAAAAATCACCAAAGAGAGAAAAAAAAAAAACACTGTTTAAGTATATATTATAATTATCTTTATTTTTTTGTAATTTTAAGGTCAATTAAAAATACGGTAAACAGTATACTGTATCTTGTCTATGTTTCATAACATAATATATATAAAAATAAAATTATTTAGAAAATTGTTTCATCCGCATGTGGTTGTTTTGGTGTAATAACTGCATGTTATAAGTGTTCTTCCTTTTTATCACATTCTTCAAACTCCAGGAGAGGCGTCTAACTGCTGTTTAACTTTATTTCATTTTTTAAAATATTAAATCAGATGCTTTGATTGTGAAGAGATAAGTTACTCAGTACTTCAATACACTTTATACCAAATACCTTTTTACTCTTAAGTCATTTCTTTTTTTTTATGGCTACTTTTTACTTTGGAGTACAATGCGGCGAGGTAATGCTGCTCCTGCTTGAGTGAACTGTTTGTGTTTTCTGCCCACCTCTTATCATTCCCATCATACCACAGCGTAGAGGTTTGGATAACTGGAACCCTGGATCCAATCTCCAGAGGCCTGGGAATGACACATTCATCTTGCATATCGTAATGATATCAGTGGCACCACTAGGGGGTACACCCCATACAATGCACTGGCCACCCCACTGGCCACCCCACTCACCAGTGTCTTTACGATTGTGCAATTTGTGGTAAAAAAGTGTGAATTTACAATTTGCAAGGTGATCTTGCAGCCTGGTTTATGCTCAGAAACCAGGTTGTCTGTGTGTGTGTCACAAACACAGAAATATGCCCCCCGCCTTACACAGACACTCTGGTCCACCTCCCCTTAATTGTAGGTGACCAAAGACAATGCTGCAGACAGCGTCACAGGGAGGTGAGAAAGGAGGCCTCTGATTGGTCAATTCTATATTTCTACATCCGCTCTACACTATGCATATTTCCTGTTTGGTACCTAATGGCAGAAACTCCGGCTGTAACGCCGTCCACAACGCCTGGCACACCTCAGACAATATGCCAGACAACATGCAGGATGCTAGTTTGTAGCAGCACCACGGCCAGTCTTTGGGGAACACTCACGGGTGAACTGTGTGTCATCCTGCGTTTGATGAGGGGTTGTAGACTTCAAACAAGCTTGTCAAACCGGCACACGGACACCCACAATCCTAGCTAGTTTGGGATTGTCCCTCTTGTGTTGTGGCGTGGAATAACATAGCGCAGACCACGCTTCAATATTGGGAATAAATCAAAAATATCTGCTTCATACCTGCGACGAGCTAACTGCGACACACTGCTGTGGGAGCATAATCAGCCCTTGAACTGGACACCATCCGTTTCTGTCCACGTGACTGGAGATGCTGAGATCTTTTCCTCATTAGAGTAAAGGCCAATTTATGCTTCTGACGCATAGCCTCTGCAACCATCAAATCTGTCTCTGTGCGTGACCACGCCCCCCTGCGCAGAGGTTCTGCAACCGTCGTCGCACACCTCAAAAAAATCCTGACTACACGTCGGACAGTCGAAAACCTGCGCAGACCTCAAATGGAAGTGCGCAGACAAAAAGCAGCTGTGATTGGTGCTTGGTCGTCCTTCTCGATTCGTTGTCGAGATGCGCCATTTTTAAAAACCGAGGAACAACTACGACGAACGATTAATCGAGGAAGTTTGGAAGTACAACTACTTGTACGATGCCTCAGACAAATTATATAAAGATGCCAAGGTCTCTGCTAAAACGAAGTTCTCGTGACCATCCGCCAAAGTTCTTGTGAGTTCTCGAATAGGCTCCCCCTTGCGCTCAGGCGGGAAACTGCTGTGCGTCCCTAGAAATTCCAGACCGACGGTGCAGAAGCATACCAGCAAAACTGGTTCATGACCAGACGCAAGCGACATTTGATGTGTGCGGCTGCAGAAGTATAATCTGCCCTTAAAGGTTCTCGCTGAAGAAACATATCTTTTCACTATTATTATTCCTCCCCATTTTCAAGGACGTAACACTTGTGCACTATAGCTCACCTGCCTCTCTCCCCCTACTTTCTGCTCCTGTGTGCTCACAGAACTACAGCTCAACTCATGCCCACTTTCAATGGAGAAAATAAAAAAAAGCAATTACTGTTCAACTCAAAATGTTAACTGGTTTGTATCTATATATATATATATTATATCATTAGGAACATATAAAAATCACACACACAGTAGACCAAGTGTCTTAGGCCCCGTCCACACGAAGTCAAAACGAACACGAAACGCTAATATTTTCCAGAACGTTTGTCGTAAAGACGGAGACGTAAAATAAATGTGATCGTCCACACGAATGCATGAAAACGCTGCAAAATGTATGCCAGGCCTGTAAGTGGCGCTGTGGTGCCAAAGCAAAAATAGGCGACGAAATGTTGGGCATGCGCACTAATATTTATACATGGTTGCCCTGCGGGTCCATTTTCGTGGTTCAGTCAAATTCAGGTGCTGAACTATGTGGTCGATATTGCTCTGTTCTTCCTGGAGATATTCCAGAAGAAGAAGATTCTGTTGTAAGCCCGACAGCAGGGTGAGTAGCATGAGCAGCAACCATTCAACACAGTACGGCGCCATTGTTGTTGTGATACTGTGTCGCGCATGCGTGTTTAGAGGCGACGCTATGACGCATGCGTGTAAGAAAAAAATGCGGTTAGAGCTTAAAGATGGAAACGCGAAAACGGCGTTTCAAAATCTTCCCACTCTGAAGGCTTAATAAAAAAAAGATCGTTTACAGACCCCCGAAACGCCGGCTTCGTGTGGATGAGAGGCTGGTTTGGTGAAAAATTTGTGCGTTTAGGCCAGGGTTTGGCTTTGTGTGGACGGGGCCTAAATCATAGGTTTCTACAGGCAGGTTAACCGCATTAGTAGATTCAAAACCTGAAATTAGGGCTTTTAGTTTCAGTATGCCACCCCAAGTTTTTTAGTCGCCCCATCTGGCGTTCCCTATGAAATATTTCTGGTGACACTGAATGATATGCAAGTGTAAATAATAAGGGAGTGTCCAGCCATCATTCTAATGAATAAGGAGATGAGGTTATATCTCAGAGATCATAAATGGTCTATCCTTATATAGCACTTTTATCAAGTCCCATAGAAGATTTACAGGCAGAGCTATAAATAAATCAGGAAGCTAACTTACAACCCTGGCCCAGTTAGACCAGTTCTGTTGGGAGAAATGGGACAAATTTTCTGCAAATTGCTGTGAGAAGCTTGTTAACAGAAGCCCAAAACAATTAAAAAGAGATACAGTTTATTTGAAAGTGTATAAAATACTGATTAATGTATATAAAGTTATATATTTCAAGAAGAAGAAAAATGTTTATTCACTGTACTTCTTTCACTCGGCAAAAATATGATTATTTTGACAATGCAAACTGACCCGAGACTGAAAACAGTTAATAAATTAGAGAAAAACAAGGTTTTATATGTGGGTTAGAAGGTGTGTGTCTGGTGAATGTTCTAAAGAAAGCAGTTGAATCCCCAGTCGGCCTCAGCAGAAGGCTGCTCACACTGAACCTGGTTCTGCTGGATATTTCTTCCTGTAAAAAGCTAGTTTTTCCTTCCAACTTTCGCTATATGCATGCCTGGTGTGAGGGATTGCTTAAGAGTCAATGACAAAATGTAAGTTAATAGTGTCACTGCAAATTCCAGCAGGAGCATGTCCTGCGAGTCAAAGATTAAATGCAATCTGCTGGTCTTCCTTGATGGAAACCTTTAGCTTTCTGACTGGATAATCTGATTTAATTATCTCTGTAAAGCACCTTGTAATGATGATGTTTTAAATTTATGTTTTATAGATGAACTGAATTGAAAAACTACATGAAAACTGTGTAAATTGAGTTTTTTTTTTGTAAACTCAAAACCAATTTTTTTTTTTTTTTTTTTTTTTTTTTGTGAGTCATCCAGGTCATAGTCGTTCTGTAAAAGTTCAAAAAAATATATATCTTATGGACTTGGTTTCCAAGATTGAAGAAACGTCTTCAAATCTTGGAAACCAAGTCCAGTAGATTTTTTTTTTACTTTAATCTTTACTTCTATATGAAATTAAAGTATTTTGCTCCAAATTTGTTTTTTGGATTTCATATTTTTTTTGTAATTATTCTGACTTTTAATCTTTCAGGCCACTGAAAAAACTTTAAAAAAGATTAACTGATTTTAAAATTTTATTTCAGTATAATGTGAGAAAAGGGTCAGAATTCTGACTTTAATCTCAGAATTTTGGCTCTTAATGTAGATGGGCACCATAAAGGAAGAGATCTCCAAGAGATGTGGGAGACTTCAGCTTCACTGACAAGGACGTGAGTCGTTTGGGAGGGCCAGTAACACATCGGTGGGAAATGATGGAATTAGGGGACTTTTTACATGCCTGAGGGGTCCCTGGTGATGCTATTTTATTAATCGAAGAGCAGAAGGTGATTAAAACAAGGGAGCTAATTTAGTCTCTAAAACAGACATGGCAACGGCTTGATACTAACATGTTTGTTAGCTGTCAGAATTCAGTCAGAATTCTGAGAAAAAAGTCAGAATTTTGTGGTTAAAGTCAGAACACTGAGAAAAAAGTTAGAAATCTGAGAAAAAAGTCAGAATTCTGATTTTTTTTACTTATATGATACTGAAATAAAATTTTAAAATCAGTTAATTTTTTTTCTTTCTTTTAGTAATCTTCCTTCTTATAATTTATCTAAAAAAATATGCCCAACGTTTTTATTCGCGTGACAAACCATAGACGATCTTTGTTCGGTGGGCGTTCGATTCCTCGCTCCCTCCCTCCCTGTGTGGGTCAGCGTGGGCGGCCCCGTGTGGCAGGAGGATAGTGAAACACGACACCCCGGCCCTTTATGGAAGAGGAGGCGGGGAGGGGGGGGAGCTGGAGGGAACACGAAGTGACTGAGTGGAAATAAGGGAGAAAAAGAGGGGGCTCAGAGACAGAAGTGAGTTGGCTTCACTACTTTTGTTCCTCCCCGAAGCGCGGCTGTAGTCAGGAGGAAGATGCTGCTGCTGCCGCGGTGGACTCCAAAATGCGACACCGCAGTGGAAATTTAAACTCGCCACATTCCGTTGCTCCAGAGGCGGCCAACGGCTGCTCGGACTGACTCCTCCAAACTTTCACCATTCACCGGAGAGGACGGGATTTCTCCAACCCGCTCCACACACTCCCGGATAACTTACTAGGGGGAAGAAGAAAAAAAACAATAAACGAGTTTCTAAGCAAACGCAGATGATATAAAACTCCGCTCGGAGTTTTTTCAGCTCTTTCTGGTCAGAAGCAGACCGGGTGGAAGAGAGAGCGGAGCCGCTGCTAACAGCTAACAGCTACCGCCTGAAGTTACCCGTCGACGGGGAAAAAGTGACGGAAGGAGACGCCGACCGCTTGGACCAAGATGAAAACCCCGGGAGAGACGGGTGAGTGGGACATTTTCACGGTTTTCACGCAACTTTTACACACTTTAATGATTGTTGCTCTGTTGAAAACAGCGGCGGCAGCAGCTAGCCTGTTAGCCGTCCGCTCCGGGGGAAAGTGTGGCTGAATGATGGCGCTGCGCAGGATCCATCCGATTCTCACTCTGCTTTTTAAAGTTTGAACCGCTTTCAGCTCAGACCCACTTTACCTCAAACTGCTGCGCTTCTTTTCGCATCAAATGTTTTAGATATTTACAATAAGCGCAGCTGATTTCCTGGAATCACGGTTTAACCATCTGTGTTTACATCAGCGAGGCCATAAATCAGATTTAAACTAAAATGTGTTCATTAATTAGCCAGATTGAGTTTATACTGAAACAGCCATTTAAACACGGCCTTGATCACACCCACGCGTGTGTGGAAATGAGGTGAAAAGTTAAGACTAATAATCTGAAGTTCCTTTTTTTAACAGGAAGGGAAAATATTCTCCATACAAGCATGAAGCATTAAGAGGATTTAAGAGTTTTATTATCCAGCTTTAAGTTTGCATTAGGGATACATGTAATGTTGATTTCCTCTTTAATCCTTTATAGGAACTCCTTGAAATACCTTGAAAAATCAAATGTTCAACCAATAGTGTTATTGGAATCCAGGATAAGACATTATTACCTTCAAAACATTCATAAAATGGATATTTTGATGGTAAAACTTAATGTCAATGTAATAACAAGATAAGCCAACTTGCCTGAACATATTAAGAAAAACAACAAAAGTGCTTTTATAAGAAATTCATAAAAAATTTCTGGTACAACATAACCTTAGAGGCATTAATACTGATACTGGCACTTAGATTTTTTAGTTTATAAACCTGCATATTAATGTAAACTAGGCTTTTTAACTTTTCAATTAGCTTTTTACCTTTTTTTTCTTGACTTCGTAACTTTTTTCTTCAACTTAATTTACAGTAGGTAATAAATAATTCAAGGGCTCATCTAATTGGTCAAATGCCAAAATAAGATGTACAGCCAGGTAGCAGGATCTTTGATGAATGGCTGGATATAGATCTTTTGCTTCTAGATCTAACTAAGGGACGGGGGAGGAATCCATTTGTAAGGGGTATGCAATGGATCAAAAATGCTAACTTGCTCTATAAGGGGTTAAACTCCTCCAGCATAGCATGAGAGAAACCTGAACACATTATTGGTTTATTACAAATGATTAGAAGCTCATATAATTTAACTGCGCTTAGAAAATAGGACTTAAATGATCTAATGCCACAATAATAAAGTAAATACTTCAGAAGTAAGGTGCTGAACGTTGTTAAGGATTTAGGATTCATAACTTCCTGTGATTATGGATGGATAGGGTTGGGAATTGATAAGATTTTCACGATTTCAACTCTCTTATCGATTTGGTTTAATCACAAGCGTTACTGTATAAGTTAGAAAATCCGTTAACAAAACAGTGTTGAGAAGGAAAGTAAAGAGGATTTAAAGTGATTATCCAGCAGCTCCCACTTTACAAAAGGACAAACCTTATGTTGGAGATTTTGCTTTAAACTGTTGAAAGCTTATAATGACTGAAGTCCTGAAATCAATCAAAAGGTATGAATAGAAATAGAAATTCGTCCTTCTCTACAGAGTCTGAGCTATAAGAAAAATGCTCCATGTGGGGATTTTACGGCTAGTTTGATTTATAAAGGTTTGCTAATACTTGGAAAAGATTTGTATCTGTATGAAAATGTGCTTATAGAGATGCACCGATCAATCAGGTCATTTCCGTTCTATCAACTCAGATTGGTGAACAGCATGTCAAATATTATAAACTGTTTTTATTTATTTTCTTCTCCTTTGTCCTCTCATTACGTCTCTGAGTAAAAATCAGCCTTTAAAGGCCTTCCTATGCTGATAGATTTGGCTCAGTTTGACTCTTTGGTCGTTTACATCATATTTTCTAACTGTTTTGTGCTCATAAACCATTTTGTTCCTGTACACATCCCTGCTCTTCATTGGTTTATCATTCTTTCCATTTATTTTGGCTCTTCTCTCACCCAAAACACTAACTAGTTTGCACATTAAGTATTTTACCACATCAGAATAGTTTACAATATCGCTTTAAGGTAAAGAAACTTAACCATATTCCTATTGATCTTTGATTGAACCGTTCGTGTTGCATCAGTTCCGTGGTTGTGACTAATCAGAGCTTATTCACTGTAACCCTGCAGACTTGTGAAATCAAAGTGTGTTGTAAAGCAGGAAGTAGAAAGAGCTTTATTTTATTTCCTAACTTTACACTTTTCGGTGTAGAAACTAAAGAGGAAAACCTGGAATGTGTGATGGTAGCATTAGAGCAGAGGGAGAGGAAAAAAACAATGGCTGTATGCCCCTCATTTCCACAAACCCACCATGGAAAAAGATGTTTGTTTACAAAGCTCAGGATGAATCTGACTTCCAGAAAGACGAGCTTTGTTTAAAACACCTTTCACCTGAAATCCAAGCCCTGAAAACTCTGCCCTTACAGTTTAACATTCCTCTCATTTTTCAGTGACACCGCAGCTTTTGCTGAAATGATTATAATTTTCCCCCTATTGTGCATTTAGGCGCTCTTAAATTCAGTTTAGTCAGGAGCGCTTTGTGGTGATCTGGGTCGGGCAGAGATCCAGCGGCCCATAATAGACGTTTAAAGAGGGGAATGCCTCTCCGCAACACAACGTCGTAATTACAGATGCGGCTTTTCCGTCTCCCTGCAGCCGAGGACGACTTTTATGGATGAAGCGAATCGAAGCGAAGTCTTTGCATGAAGGATATCTTTCTGGAGCGAAAACTTTCCAGAAACGGAGCAGGCGTGTAGGTTTCTGAATAACCTCCTTATTCACGCCTTTCCATCAGTGGCTGCTTTATTTTTAGAGAACGACTCAGACCAGCGTGTCATTGTTGCCCGTTTCTGACTCCTGAACATTGTATTCCCTCCTAATGACTTCCAGCACCCAGAGGGCTGAGGATTACTGAGGCCGTCTCTCACTTCCGTTCGGTTTTAAGTCACACGTTTGCCCGTTTGCCGCTAACTGGAGCTGCACATGTGCGTTTTTGAGCAGTGTTGTGGTCAGGTTTTTATTGGTTTAATGTTCAACATTAATGATGCCCTTTGCACCAACTTCCTTTTAGTTTTTTGGTATTTAAGAAAAGGTGGGATCATGGCTCTTACTTTTCAGGTTTTATGTGAGGAGAGTAGAAAATTCTGCCCTGTATCCCTGCTTAGATATAAATATCTCCATTAAACAAAACAAATATGGGTCAGCCTGCACTGTCTTCCTATCAGGAAGTCAGGAGTCTGGCTCCGCCAGCACCAGCTCCAATTTTCCACTGGTGTTCCTCCTTATATCAACAACACTCCACATGTGAGACGTCACAGCTGTGGACGGCCAGCCGCTGCCTCGGTGGCGTGTTGCGTGTGTGTTGCACTGAAAGGGGCCATACATGAGCAGCAGGCTGGCGTAGCCACTGCTAATGACTTGTGAGTGTGATTGTGTGCTCAGACGCTCGTACGTCTGTCACAGCGTGGCTTCACCTGGCATTGATGTGGTCACAACAAAGTGAGTGTTTTTACTGTCACGCTTCAGGAAGACCGTTTGGTTGCGGGTAGATGACTCGTAGATAATTACAGGAAGAAGAAAGGGACGTCTGTATGCAGATTGGGCCCGTTCTGCTAACTCAGGTTTAAAGCCCATCTGATGACCCACATACCGACTGTTTCCTCACCATCACATTTACTACATGTAATGCAAATGATATTTTTAAAATATGTCTATCTAAAAAAAGTATTTACACCCCTGTTAGCGGCTAGTTTACAACCACAGATGACTTTTTTTCTTTTATTTGGATTTTATTGGACTGACACATCACGGAGGGTAGCTGGGAAGCCGAATCCAAAGACGGTTGTTTATGAAGCATTTGGGAGTAAAACCAGAAAAGTGAAGTGCAGAGGTATTCAACCCCCCCCTGGAGGGTTAGTTTGGGTTTCCAAAGAAGCCCAAAGTAAGCAGCTTTCAGTGCAGGTAGAGCTGGGTGTGTCTCTGAACATTCAGGTGTTTTATTTTCCCTAGCAGTTTTAGCTCAGTCTGGTGTGATGGAGAGTGTCTGTGAAGATCAGTTTGTGAGTCTTGCAGCTGAATCTTACTTTGACTAGGCCTTTTTAACATGTATATATGATTTGATCTAAGCTATGCCTTGATGCATTCTTTATTTTTTCGTTTTAAATCTGCCTTCTTTCCATAAGTGGAGGCTATTTATGTTTCGTATGTTTGCTCAGACCAGTCAGGTGAGGTAATATCGAATCATAAAGCAGGTCACTTTTTTTTCTCCAACAGCTGGGGAATCGTGACAGAACTGAAAAAATGCAGCGCATGTTCTTCCCCTCACCCGGAGAAAAACTCAGAAAGCCAGTCACAGATTGTACTTTCTTCAGGTTTTCCTCCCATTATGTGCTTACCGTGAGCGATTAGTTCTACAAAGGTCGACCTGATCACATTCCTGATTGCTAGCGAGCCAAGCCCGGGCAAGCAGAGCCTGGAAAAACCACAGCGGAGTGACGTCAGCAGCTCCCTGATGTGCTGTCAGGCCACAGCCCGGGTCAGCGCCATTATGATCATCTCCCCATGTTACAGTGGGCCTCTTTTCCAGGAAGTGTGTTTGCATGGCGGCTCGTTGACCCGCACCGGCAACAGGTTGCTCGAAGTGGGGCGATGCTGGCTAAACAAAATCTCACTACAGGAAAGTCTGGCACTCAGAGCCATCAACACCTGCAGCTTTATTTATTAAACAAGCGTATAAAGTCAGGTTTCATAAAAAGCCAAGTTTGATCAACATCCATCTAGGAAATATAGTTATTTTAATGCTTTTATAAAAAACAAGGGTGCATATTGTGTTTTCTTGATCAGCAGTGCATAAATTTTCCATTTCTACTATGAAAACAAACTTTATATATTATTAATGCAAAATATTGAA